TCAGATATCTGAGGATCCATTTGACAGCTTCCCAGTGTACCTTGCATGGATTATTCATGTACCTGCTAACAGCTCCCACTGCATGAGCAATATCTGGTCTGGTACAAACCATGACATACATCAGACTTCCAATTGCTGAGGCATACGATACTTTCACCATGTGTGCACGTTCTTCCTCGGTATTTGGTGACTGTTCTTTGGAGAGTCTAAAATGAACACCTAAAGGTGTACTTACTAGCATCTTGCATGTTGAACCTGGAGAGTAATTTGTTGATGTACTCAGCCTGTGATAACATCAAAGTCCCGAATTTGTGTCTCTCTTGATCCTCATCCCAAGAATCTTTTGCAGCCAAAATCTTTTATGCAAACTGCTTCGACAATTTTTGCTTCAAGTTTATAATCTCTTGCATGTCTGAACCTGCAACGAGCATGTCATCAACGTACAATAATGAAGTTGTTGTCGAACCTCTTGATGTAGCAACAATGATCTGCTTGGCATCTGGTAAAACCACTGCTACATGAAACTATCGAACTTCTTGTACCACTGTCTAGGAGCTTGTTTTAAACTTCAAGATCTTCTTCAACCTACATACCAGGTTTTCTTGCCTGCTCTATGAAGCCTTCTGGCTGCCTCATATAGATTTCTTCCTCCAAATCACCATGAAGGAAAGCTGTCTTTACATCTAACTGCTCAAGATGTAGATTTTCTACAGCTACAATTTTCAACACCAGTCTGATTGTAGACAGTCTCACGACATAAGAGAAAATTTCATTGTAGTTAATACATTCTTTTTGCTGAAACCTTTGACAACCAATCTCTTTGTAGCGTTTGCTCCTATCGTGCTCTTTTTTGATCTTGTAAATCCATTTGTTGTGGAGCGTTTTCTTGCCTAGTGATAATTCAGCTAATTCCCATGTCTGATTTGACATAAGCGAGTCCATCTTATCTTTCATTGAAGACTCCTACTTGAATGAATTCTCCACATGCATTGCTTCATCATAGCACTCTAGTTCACCATTGTCAGTCAGCAACAAGTAGTGCAAAGAAGGCGAATAACGCTGGGTTGGTTTAGGAATTCTGGAGGAGAATCTCAGTTCTGGTGTGCGTGGTTCTTCTTGAACTGCTTCAGGATTGATCTGAACATCATTTCCAGAAATCTCCTCAAACTCAACAAATTCCTTTGTTTCAGCTTTGGTATTGGAGCTACTTGATTCTATGGTTGCCCTGTCTTTGTACATCACATTCTCATTGAAAATGACATCTATGCTTCTGATGATCTTTCGATTTTCATAGTCCCAAAATCGGTAACCGAACTTATCACCGCCATAACCAACAAAGGCACATTTGTTGGACTTAACATCAAGTTTACTTCTTTCAGCAGAGTCTATGTGTACATAAGAAATACAACCAAACACTCTTAAGTGTGAAAGGTTTATTTCTTTCTTGCTTCAAACTTCCTCTGGTATTCTGTCATCCAAAGGAACTGAGGGCCCACGGTTGATCAGGTAAGTTGCAGTGTTGATAGCTTCAGTCCATAGAAATTTGTGCAATCTGGCATGTATCTTCATGCTTCTGGCACGTTCATTCAGAGTTCTGTTCATGCGCTCTACTACGCCATTCTGTTGTGGTGTCATGGGAACTGTTGTCTCCATCTTGAACCCATTATTTGCGCAGAAATCTCTGAATCTATTATTTTTTTACTCTTCTCCATTGTCAGACCTCAACTGCTTGACTTTCAAACCAGTCTCATTTTCCACCATGGCCTTCCATTTTCTGAAGGTATCAAAGACTTCTGATTTCTTTTTCAGAAAATAAACCCACACCTTCCTTGTTGAATCATCGATGAAGGTGACATAATATAATGAGCCTGCAAGAGATGGAACTGAAGATGGTCCCCATACATCATTATGAACCAACTCTAACTTTTCTGCCCTGGGTGTCTTACCAATCTTTGCAAAGCTGACTTTCTTTTGTTTGCCAAAGATACAATCCTCGCATAGTCCAACATCTACATTCTTTAGATCTGACAGCTTCCCTTTTGACAAAAGTGTCTTCATCTCTTTCTCGCTCATATGGCCAAGCCTTTGGTGCCATAGGTTTGATTTTCCATCAGCATTTGCAGTAGCAATGATATTCTCCAAGTTTGAGGTTACATAGAGGGTACCAGTCTTCTTACCACGAGCAATGACGAGTGCTCCTTTGGTAATCTTCCATTCACGGCCTGAAAAGGTTGTACTATATCCTTCTCCATCGAGCTGTCTAACAGAAATCAAATTCCTTTTGAGGCCAAGAATATGCCTCACTCCTTTCAACTTCCAGGTGGTCTGATTTGGTAACTTTAATCGGATGTCTCTTTTTCCGATGATCTTCAAAGTTTCATCATCGGCTAGATGAACCTTCCCAAAATCACCACTGACATAGTTCTCAATGATTTCTCGGCATGGGGTGGAGTGGAAATGTTCCCCTGAATCCAAGATACATGATTCAATCGGACTGTTGACACTTAAAATCATGACATCACCTGTCTCATCTATCACGTTGGCAGATTCATGTGCGTTATTTTTCTTCGGTGCTCACATCTCTTTTAAAGTGACCCTTCTTACCGTTATAACAGGTAAAATCTTTCTTTCCGTTCTTAATTTTCCCCTTCTGGATTTGGATCTGCCACCCTGGATCCAAGATACATGATTCAATCGGACTGTTGACACTTAAAATCATGACATCACCTGTCTCATCTATCATGTTGGCAGATTCATGTGCGTCAGTATTTTTCTTCGGTGCTCGGCAATCTCTTTTAAAGTGACCCTTCTTACCGCAGTTATAACAGGTAAAATCTTTCTTTCCCGTTCTTAATTTTCCCCTTCTGGATTTGGATCTGCCACGATTTGAATTTCTTTATAAAGTTCTCCCTCTGGACTCCGTGTGCAAGGCTGAAGAGGTTGATGCTTCACCCGATTCTCTCCGTCGAATTTTTTTTCTCAGTACCAGATCCTGAACATCGTCAAATTTTAATTTGTTGTTTCCCGACGAGCTGCTGATTTCTGTAACAGTAGCATTCCAACTGTCTGGTAGAGATAATAAGAGAATTAAAGCTCGAACTTCATCATCGAATTCCATTTCCACGAACCTCAACTGGGTTATGATTGTGTTGAGTTCATTTAGGTGTTGAGTCACTGATGCCCCTTCCGCCATCCGCAAATTGAATAATCGCCTCACCAAGTGAACTTTGTTTGAGGCCGATGACTTCTCATACATACTAGAGAGAGCCGCCATAAGACCCGACGTGGCTTTTTTCCTTTGCTATGTTGAAAGCAACATTGCGGGATATGTCCACTCGGATAACTCGAGGGCTTATCTCGAGAAGCCCAGTCTTCATTCTTCATGCCTCTGGTTATTTTCCTGAGAGAGGTTGATATAGATTTTTCTGGTATAGAAAATCTTCAATCTGCATCTTCCAAAAGCCAAAGTCCGCACCATCGAACTTTTCAATTTTCACTTTCCCTTCGTCTACAATCATCGCTCCTACTAGAATCTGGCTTCGTTTGGATCGTTTCTAACAATTCTTGCGAATCACCGTGTATTAGAACACCTCCGTCGATAAATTCGTATTGCCGACAAAATTTTTACTATTCACGTGAACAGTAATGAATAGTAACCTCGCAAAAAATTGACAAAACTCACAACCAAAAGCTCTGATTACTAGTTGTTGTGAAATAAAACGAGTATGAGTAATTTCCCTATAACCATATTAGTGAGAATGTGAAATAAAAAGCGGAAAAATAATACTCGAAATTGATAACGGAGTACAGCCAATTATGCCTACGTCTCTGGACTACTGCAGATCTTTTACTAAGAGACAAAATTTACTGGTGTTTACAAAATACTCACTACTCATAAGAGAACTCTCTAGTATTGGGAGAAAAAAATGATTTGGGATTATTTTGAAGCTAAATGGGCTAGGGTATTTATAGTTGAAGCTTAAGGACTAATCTTATAAATACTCTAAAGTATGTAGTGACTAAAAATATAATTAACTCATTTTTAATTTCAATAAAATATTGGGCACCGAATTGTGCCCCTTTTGCTGAAAAATTACTCTCCCTTTGTTGAAAAATATACTAAGCCCCCATTGATGACTTTTCTTCCAACATTTCTTAGTGTTGCATGCTTCTTATAATGTTATGGACAAGTGTCGATTGATAGTTGTCGTGATATTATTATTGATTAAATATCCTAAGAAATAATGGCTTATACTAAGAGATTACGTAGCTGTTGGGAATCGGCCGTAGGATCTACTCGCAGGAATTATCAATATCAAATACATATTTGATATTAGATGTTAGCTAGGTACACTTTACATGATTAGAGATTTACATAGACAATAAATTTACATATTAAAAAATTCACAGATGGTAACAAACTAAATTTACGCCCACCTGTACCTATTCTAACCTACAAATAGAACATAACTCATCGATTACCATACCCCATAACCTTTATCGATCCTTATAATTAATAAAAATAAGATATATTCCATGGTTTAGATTTGGATGAGAATACGAACAAAAAAGATATATCATTTCAGAAAAGTTAAATAATAAAATGAATTAAAGGAATAAGTCTTTCTAGACATTATGACAATATTATAGTAATATATATGAATGAGATGATTAAATAATTAAAAGAATTAAAAGAATAACTCTTTCTAAACATTTTGATTAAATAACTAATAAAGTTCGGTTTGGTTGTTATTTTTTTTTTAAATAATTTGACATAATATTAGAATTTTTAATATATATATATATATATATATATATCTTTTAAGAGAAATGGCATTTTTCCCTTACCAATCTAGGTTTAAATCGATTTGATTTTTATTTTAAATTTTATAATATTATTTTAATAAAAATATTTTTTAAAATAAATTTATACAAGTGTTTGAAATCAAATTAAAACTATTCTATAACAACAATGTGAAACAAACCAAACACTAGCAACATCATTGAAACATTTGGCCCACATCACCACAGAGTAAGTTGAACACAGCTCCCTTGCGGCCGAAATGCTTGTTGTGACACATCTTTGAAACTCTTTCTATGTCAACACATCTTAGGAAAGGGTTTGTGGGAGATTCGATAAAGAAAGGAGAAATTTTGTTCTCGCTGAGTGCAGCCTTCAGGCTATCCACATCTACGGGGTCAATAACAGTAACCGAGATTCCCATTTTAGGCAGAAAGTTCTCAATGAAAATCCTAGTTTTCCGGTAGCAATCTGTTGTTGTTACCATATGTCCCCCGGTAGGGACTAATGCCATCAGCATGACCGTGCTGGCACACGTACCAGATGCCATAATCAGGGTTGATTCAGCCCCCTCAAGTGCACTTATCTTCTCCTCCGCAACGACTGTAGGTTGATTTCCATACCGCCCGTATTCTAAACTTGTATGGCGTTTCTCCTTGAAGTCAATAAGCTCTTGAGTTTTCTTAAAGAAGTAAGCAGAAGTATTAACCATCGGAGTGGTAATTGCATCAGTAACAACACCGCGATCTAATATTTCACCATCATGAACAGTGATGCTCCAATCGGAGCTCAAAAATGATGTCGTCGAATTATCTGAACCTCCAATCTGTACACTACCGTTGTCAATACAATCTTCTATTCTCGACACATCATCATTGACGGTGACGGTGACGGAGTTAGCGGCAGTTTCAACCATAAAGTTGTAGAGATTAATGGAACAAATGAGAAGTTGTAGAATCCATGGCAACTGAGTCAGCAGTTTGCTGACTAGACCCATTGTGCACCATGAGTGAAGAACCAGAGAGAGAAAGTTTAGAAGCGTGAAACCAAAATTCCCAGGACTTTGGCGAAAGATACCATGTTAAGAAGTGATTACAAACGCAAGTATACACAGGAAAATATATGTTGTATTCATCTCAGCAAGGACATTACATTTATAATAAAGGTTAAGCTCATCAGCTCCTCAATAACCGTCTAACAAACTAACAGACCTAGTTAATCAAACTAACAAAATAACTACCTCCTCATACACGTGTAACACTTCTTTGATATCCATCTATTGTTATATAACACTAAATAAATAAATAAAAAAGTTAGTGAGAAAGATTTCGATGGAAATTTACCACTCCATGTCCATCGCTCTCTTTCCAACCTTTCTTGTTTTCATCACGTTTGCCTGCTTGTTTTACCTCTTCAAATCCCAAAGGCAAGGCAAGGCTAGGCAAGGCTAGACAAACTCCGCTTCCGCCGGGACCAAAACCTTGGCCTATTGTCGGCAACCTCCCTCAACTCATCATACACAAGAAGAAAACGTCGGTATCTCATTGGATACACTGTTTCATGCAAGAAATAAACACCGAAATTGCTTGTATTCGCCTAGGGAACGTTCATGTGATTCCCGTCACTTGTTCTGAAATCAGCCGCGAAATCTTGGAAAACCAGGATGCTGTTTTCGCTTCATGGCCACCGATGTCCTTTCAAAAGGGCACTAAACCACAATCTTTTCACCCTTTGGAGATCAGTGGAACAAGATGAAGAGAGTTCTGGTTAGCGAGGTGCTTTCAAAGGCAAGACATCAGTGGCTTAAAGAGAGAAGAGTTGAAGAAGGCAAGTTGCCGATAACCTTGTGCATTACGTGCACAATCAATGCAAAGATTCCGATGAAGGTGGCCTTGTGAACTTAAGACTGGTTGGACAACACTGTTGTAGCATATTTATTTAATTTAATTTATGTGCCTTTTAAGTATAAAAGTATGATTATTAAATTGGTTTTTTGGATGATGTATTTTTTAAATTTAATTCTTGATTGAATTACTTTATGAATAGCATGTCATTTTTTTTCTAGAAGCATGATAGCCTCATTTGCCTTAACCTTTCAATAATAAATTAAAAGTTAGCATACATTTAATTTGAATTATCGAAGCAGATTACTCTAACTCACATGGGTAGTTTAATTCAATAATTTAAATTGAACTAGCATCTTGCAGTGAAACAAATAAAAAATTGATAATCTTTTCAATAAGGAAGATAGAAAGGTAAATGTTACCATATTTAGACTTGTTAAAAATGGGCCTCTCGAATTTATTTAAAGGTTTAGGTTCGATACTTCTAAATATGCGAACATTCTCTATCTATCTTAAAGGCTCGGTAATTATATTAATAAAAATTCTACTTGTTGTACAACTTTAGGTAAATAAATACCATGAATTAGATATTTCTTTTTCCTTCTAGGGAATTGTCACTCTACCTTATATTAGGTGGTGATTACCTCTCGATTTGAAGCTTTGGAATGTCAATTAAAATTTCTGATGAAGCGATTAGTGATTGAACGATTTAATTGGAAATGAAATGTCATTCTTCCTCGTATAAGGTGGTTAACCTTCCCTAATTAAATGTTCAAATCATTAAATTTTTTTCTCTTGGATTTTAAATATCATGGTATTTATTGAACTAAATAGGAAATCATTAATTAAATTAAGTTTGAATCCATAAATTCTATTGCAAAGACAATAATTAATCAACTAGATACCGATTTCTTGACGTTGTGAGAGTGTTAACTCTTCACCACACGTAATTGACTCCTGAACCTATTTTTCTGGAAAACATACCAAAACGTTATTTTAATAATTTTTAAAATTAAATTTTATTAAAATAACAAAATATTGTTGGGTGATTCAATCCTACCTTAAATAAAGAGCGGTGGCTCTCAAACCATGATTTTATTTTTAGTCAAAACGAATCCCTAAAATCAAACCCTCGATTTTTCGGACGTTGCGAGGAGATATTTACTCATATTCCAAGAGCAATAATAAATTGACAAGTTTCCGTTTTCTTCTTGCATCGGACGAAGCTACTACACAAGCATATATTTGACAACAAAGCTGGAAGGATATCTCAAAGCATCTTTAGATGTTTCAACCAAGCTAAACAACAAGAAAATGGCCGGCCTCGAACTCTCATTAGTGGACCTTGCATAGTTGTTATCTTCTTCCACAGTTGTAAATCCCCCCATCTTTAGTTGTTTATCTTAGATGTTTCAGTTCATATCATTCTTGTAATTATCGTTCTTTCAAAGGTTATAAGCAGAGTCAAGGTGATTCTGATTAAGCCATATTTGTCATAAATTTGCATCACTTTTAGAACACTGGTATTGTCGCTGACATGCTTAACAAGTTCCTCAATGCCCGTAAACTCGCCCCTTTCGCTAGCCACGGTCGGCCTAGACCAGGTTCAATTCAGCAAGGGGCGAGGGAGAGCCATGGGACGTCTTCAGCTCTGAAGATTGTTCATCCAGGTGGGGTTGTCGAGTCCTATTACATGGCGATCCCTGCTGTTAATATCATGAAGAAATACCCTTCTTTTGTATTAGCTAGACCAGAAGTTTTCAGGAGACCATGGGATTCATTGGTCCGGTCACATGAAATCCTCTCTCCAGGTGAGAAATTCTATCGTCCCTCGTCACACCGTACGAAAGCTACGTCGGAGGATCAAAAAGCCCGGCGGAGAAGTTTCGGTATCACAATCCTTCACCGCTGTATCCAGGGATGGTTCATCAAGCAAACCAAATGAAGTTAGTGGTTCAAGTGAGTTAAGTAGGTCATTCACTAGTAAACCAGGAATAAAATGGAACAAAGAAACATGTCACGTTTTGCAGGCATTGATGTAAAGCACAAGTCTGGTTTGGCCGCCATTAAAACCAGAAAGGATGAAGGCATTGTTGCCATTGCCGACAATTCCAACAAGGAATTCCAGCAGGGAGAGAAAAGGAAGCCCAAAAATGGCGTTTCATGGCAACCAAGACTTGAAGCAATCAGTGAAAGTCATGGCCCTGATGAATGATGTATAATTCTAACATGTTTTCATCTTTAATTCAACTTAAACCATTCAAAGATTATTCTGATAAACTAACAACATTATAATAATAATAATAATAATAATTCCCCGCAAAGTTTCATGTGAAAAATCCTATCTTCGTATTGGAGACGTGAAATCTTGTTCTGGGAGTAATCAAATTAGTTGTTTTAAAACTTTGTCTGGAGCCTCTGTTTCTAAGCCATTGGCAGCTTACACGAATTTTTATTCTTGTATTGGAAACAGGAAGATTCTATCCTCATCGTTTTTAATTAAAATATTAGTGTTAATGGAAATTTCTTTTTAAAAAATTAAGCTTTCGTTACAGAAAACATTATCAAAATTATAATAATTTATACAAATTAAATGGTAATAGAGCTTATGAAAGCTTATATGGAGATGAGCAAAACATGATACGAAATAACAATTTAATCAAATATAAAAATTCAATGACAGAACCTTATATATTTGGAGTTTCTCTTTGTATTTGTCAGGTTTTAGGAACGAAGAGACCCAAAAGAGGCAGTCCAAAGATTAAAAAAAAAGGTCAGAAAATCCAGTAGCTTAACAGCTTTGAGAAACAACCCTGAAAAGGAGAAATGGGTCATGACCAAGAGGAGGAGACACCACCAGCAACCCCAATGACCGTCGCCAGCGTCATCAAAGACAAAGAAGAACAAGCCTGGAACCACCGGAAACGAATCCTTGTAACGGAGCTTCAGAGAAGCTGATTACTGGAGACGTTCAGGCCAAGATTAAAGCGGCCAGAGATATAAGAAAAGTTGTTAGGAAATCATCCGGTAAGACACGTTTGAAGTTTGCTCCTGCTGGTGTTATTCCGCCTCTTGTTTCAATGCCCAGTTGTCCTAATCTCGATGCATGTCAAGCTTCTCTTCTTGCTCTCCTCAATCTTGCTGTTAGAAATGGTCTCTAATTATTATCTGCTTTCTCTTTTATGTTTGTTTTAGAACATATGATTCTGAAATGTTGTCTCTCGTCATTCTCGTTGTGTTATCAGAAACAAGGTCAAAATCGTTACTGCAGGGGCTGTACCTCCTCTCGTAGAGATTCTCAAATTGCAAAACAATGGTTTGAAGGAATTAGTCACGGCGGCGATATTAACACTCTCAGCCGCTGCACCTAATATATCCGCCATTGCATCCTCCGGAGCTGCACCCTTTCTGTTCAAATCCTCAGCTCCGGAAGTGTTCAAGGAAAAGTCGATGCCGTCACTGCATTACACAACCTATCGACCTGCAAAGAGAATTCGGTTCTAATTCTTGATGCTAAAGCTGTTTCCCCACTTATCAACCTCCTCAAAGAATGCAAGAAATACTCCAAGTTTGCTGAAAAGGCTACAGCCCTGCTCGAAATCCTTTCGAAATCTGAAGAAGGGCGAGTCGCGATCACCGATACGGACTGATTTTAACCTTGGTGGAGACCGTTGAAGATGGCTCTCTCCTCAGCACGCAGCATGCTGTTGGAGCTTTGCTTTCTCTGTGCGAAAGCTGCCGAGAAAAGTACAGGGAGCACATTCTTAAAGAAGGTGCAATTCCAGGGCTCCTTAGACTCACAGTAGAAGGCACTAATATAGCTCAAGAACGAGCCCGCACTCTGTTGGATTTACTCAGAGATACTCCCCAAGAAAAGAAATTGGCTCCCTCAGTTCAGGGGAGAATTGTTATAATATCGCCATTCATGTAAAGGGAACCAATAAAGTTGCCGACACCACCAAGAGATTACTCGAAGATATGGTTCAAAGAAGCATGGAACTTAGCATGAACAGCACCTGCTGAAGTCCCATCTGCATGAACCATTTGTGTCCATTCTATACCAGTCAATTGAGTAAAATGTGGTGGATTAGGTTTCATTAGGCTTTGTCGTACATCTTAATCTTTGTGTATACATAAAATCCCCCTTATTTATCACACATGTATATTTCCAATAATGAACTCATGAAAATACTACATCCAAAGCCGAAGCTTAAGACGAAAATGAGCTTGCATATAACACCAGAAACCCTGAAAATTACACAACACATCACCACATCAAGGTAAACTTGTGGGTAGCCGAACACTAAGCTATCCGAACACTAAGCCCCATGTTGACAACATTAAACTACATATATATACCTATACTTGAGGTAAACAGGCTGTACAATGGAGATCTTTCTCCAACTCGTCGCACTTGTAATCTTCTCACCAATAGCTGGCAAACTCTTCATCGGCCACCATAGGAGTCCGGCAAAGAGGGCAGGTACCCCTCAGATACCTCAACCACTTTTCCACGCACTCCTTGTGAAACGTATGACCGCAGGACAAGAGGTTAATCTCTGATTCAGGCTCGAACTCACACCAGCAGACAGGGCAGTCGTACTCGGGTCGCTCACTGCTGCTTAATGCGTGGAACTGAACTGTCGGGGTCTTACTCCGGAACTCCTCGATGTAAATTTTAGATGCCTTGCAGTGCGAAGATGGTTCCCTGGGACTTTCCACATAATCGAATGATGGCATAGAATCCAGGGATGATGTCATTGAGTCCGAGGATGTTGACAACGACGAAGACGGTAGATGGATACCGATAATTCGAAGGATGGACTGAAGTATGCCTTTAATCATAGACATGGACAGAGCTGCATTTATCAAGAGTACACATAGCATTCCTTCGGATGGAGATGGTAGACTTGAGAGTCCCATTTTCTGTATCAAGTTCGGGATTCCAAAATCGAAAAAGAGATCTGCAATTCAAGAAATTCCAGATTAAACTATGTTTACCTGAACAAATGATCATATAACGGAGAAATAGCAGATCATCCACATGCACAGAAACTTGAAGATAAACAGATCACTGACCAATAAGTAAACAATCAAACACCAAAGACAAGAGAAGAGAAGGAAGATCACTATAAATGATATTGAAAATTACCCTGGAAACCTGCAACAAAACCAGCATTCAATTGGGAAAATGATGTTAATGAAACAATTCAGGGAGAAAAAAAACCAAAGAAATCTGATTTTTCTTCAGCCTTTTCATTATCAAGATCATCGACATGTTCAAACCCTTGCTTGATGGCAATAAATATGGTCAAGAAAAAGGGAAAGTAAAAAAGATATCAACTTTCCAATTTGGAAACCATTAAATAAACAAAGCCATTTGAGATTTAACATTTCATGTAAATACAAGGAAAGAATATAAAGTATAACCCCAACTTTTCCTTAAAGACCATCCAAATCCATAAGAGCAAGCTTTAAAGAGGTACAAGATTTGAGTTGTTTTAAACAAAGACACCCAGAACAAAGAACTAAGCATGATTCTTTTCATGGGATCAATGAACATGAAGAAAGGAGATTTGGGTTTACCAGAAGTGAAGCTTTTTGAAAACAGGTGACGGACGGCTGCTGCAGCTGGCAGGCTGTGCCGATCTCTACTTATATACAGCAATCACCCCAACTCTAAGAGCAAACTGCGGTTAATCCTTAACTATGGTTACTTTATATCATAAATCTCTTACTCCAGTTTAGTCTTTGATGCCTGTAAGCTTAGAGAATTTTTTTTAGCAGTTTTACAAGGAACTCTCTCTTTCCTAACTAAAAGTGCCAGTTATAGCTAAACAGTTTTCAGCTTCAATTTGCAATTTCAGTCGAATGTTTTAAGAACCCAATTATTTGAGTCATGACTTTCTTCTGGTGTTTTTACCGAAAAATAACTTAAATAATAAAAAATTATCTGTTTTACATTCGTTCTATAAATTTCATCGATCTAACACTCTTTTTAATAAGACAAGTTGTAAGGGGCGCGTCTTCGGTGGTTTTATCCGAGTTAGCGCCACCATAGGGAGACGTGTTCCGAGGATGTGTTTTCGTGGAAGTTGCGTTACAGGAGGCACGCCTGTTGGAAAATGGTGAATTTAATTGATGAATTTAATATAAATATTAAATTCATAGTCCTTTTGATATTGCATATTAAAAGATAATTTTTAATTTAATATTGGTAAGATAATTACTTTTAATAAGTTAATTTAATAAGATACTTGTTATCTTTTTAATTTTAAATATTAAAATATAATTATATATTTTTATATATTTTAAATAAAATAATATTTTTTAAGTTTAAATAGTAAAAGTTGTAGTTGATCATAAGTTGTTGTATCCTAGGTGACAGACGACCAACGAACTAGAGCACCAAAGGAGTGGTCGAAAATCAGTCTTAAGGAAACTGTGTAGCGATAGGCTTCAACTGATTCCGATCGATAGATCAAAATAAAATGAGTATTTTATTTCCATTTATTTTATCTTATCTTTTAAGAAGTTTAATATTTTTGGTTTATTTTCTGATGATTGATTTTGTCTCAAATTGTTATTTTGGATAACAATCTCAAGATAAGAGTAAACTCGTTCTATCTCTTATCTCTTCATTCCCTTTATTTTATTTTATAATAATATTTATACATTATTTTTCTAATTCATTATTATTTTTCTATATTATTCTCGGATTAATGTGCACGATTTTTTCTAACAATCTTAAGACATATTTGATTTTCTTATTTTTCGATATGATATAGAATTTGTGAGTTTAATCTTTGTTGTGTATAAGGGAAGTGCCCAAAATTCGACAAAACAAATATTGGGCGAAAATCAAGAGAAATTTACGCCAAAGATAAGTTTCCTTCGATTTTTGAATTTATGAATTTCAAATTATGTGTAGGGATTCAAAAAATTAGATTCCAATATCTTTTCAAGATCTCTGTTGTTGCACACTTTGTGGGGCTCAACTTGAATCTTGATGCTTTATGTTTTGAATAGCAATGGTGAAGTTAATAATGATGATCAAGAATTCAAGTTTTAGTTGATAATGATCAAGTCAATCTGATAGGTGAAATTTGAATATTTCCCTTTTAATTCGAAATGATTCGGAACTCTTTCTTCTACCTTTCTTTAAATCTGAAATGACTTAGATATCGTGGCAAAACGAGATAGAAAATAAATTTGCTTCATGATTTATCCTGTCATTTTAACGGGTTTGTTAAAATCTCAAAGTGGGCAAATCTATATTATAGAAATTGTCGTGAAAGTAACTTGGATTACTGATTTTGTTTAAGAATTTTGATTATGTTCAATAACTAAATCGAAAATAAAAAAGAATTAATTTCCTGTTTATTGGAATCTTTGATTTCGTATTTGAAATAATTTGGAATTGTAATTTTGTCGTGTAACAGAATTATTTGATTTCTATAGAAATCATTGGAATTTAACAACCATGTTATTGATTTGTTTTAGAATTTTAGTTCATGACTAAATTTTGTTGATAGAATAAATAAAAATTTAAATTTTGGTTTATTTTTGAAATTATTATTAATTGTAATTTTGTGTGTTAAACAAAATCGTGATTGTGAGCCACGATGAAAAACTTGTAAAATTCTATGAATATAATTTCAAGATGTGATAACATATAGATGTTATTTTATTAAACGAAATCATGATTGTGAGCCATGATGAGAAACTTGTAAAATTCTATGAATAGAATTTCAAGATGTGATAACATATAGATGTTATTTTATTTGGTCATGGTAAATTTGACCAAATGTGAGATGATCATTTTATTATTAGAGATGATGAGGTAAATGTTTTTACCAGATTTTGGAAGTATTATGACTTCCTATATTGGAAATACATCTTGAATGTAATATCGGATACACAATATAAGGTGTACAATTGAATCATAGATACGAAACGGAAGATGCTGATACTAATAAATTATTAGAGACCAAAGTTCTTAAACTTCGTAATAATGGCATAGACAATGGAGAATAAATGGTTTATTACCTCCATTGATGATAGCAAAAGTATTGCTATGTGTATTTGCTAAAAGAACAAAATGAAGTTATAGAAAAAAAATATTTTCTATAAACATGAAGTTGAAAACCAACTTAATAAATAGATTAAGATGGTAAGAACTATGCACAACTTGATATTACTCATGAAGTGACATCACTATATTCTCATAAATAAATGGAGTAGCAAAGCGGAAGAATTGAACAATGCTAAGAAGTTCTAATTTGTCACAAAACATGTGGGGATAGAGAAGTTGTTATGTCAACTAATAACCTTTAAAAAAGGTCCCCTGGAAAGAAAAAGGACAAGAAACCATATGTGTTATGAAAAGGTTGGAAGCCTATGTCATACAAATATTTGGAAATGTGGGGGTGTTTTTGAAAGGTAATTGTCATATTATCAAAACAAATGAAAATAAATCCTAACCAATAGATTGTATTTTCTTTGACTGTCATATTGTTTAGAAGGATAGATTGATGCTAGTTGGAATTTGATATTTCAATTATCAACGAAACAAGTGAATATGTTTCACATTGGAAAGAAAAAGTGTCATGAAAATCCTTAATAAACCGGTTATAACCTGTAATGCCCAAAATATTGAATTAGGACTATATTAAAAAGAATTAAAATTTGAGGATCTATTTGAATAGTTGACAAAAGATGAGAAAATGATTTGGAATAAGGTTTAGACTATTTTGTAATAATAGATGAGTAAAGAGGGCATTTTGGTCCTTTAAGGGGAAATGAATTTAAAAGTATTTTCTTATTAGGGATTTTATAAGGGAAAAAGAGGAAAGTAAGTCAACAAGCTATCTCTTTTTCTTATTCTTTTTTCTTGTGGCTTTGTGCTCTCCTCCATATCTCCAAAGGTAAACTTCAATTAATCAATTTTTCCTTTCGATAATGGGTTGTTTTTGCAACCTTAAGTGATATGTAAGCTTAAGGAAGGGTTAAATAGGATTAAAACAAAGATATGGATGAAATATTAGAGATTTAAGAAAATGGGTTTTGGAATGATATTAGTTTTTAGTCATGTTTATTAGTATATTTGACTTGTCAAAGAAGTAAATGAAAGATTAGAAGCATTGGATTGGTTTAAAAACATGTAAGAAAATGTGGTGTGATTCTTAGATTGAAAGATTCTTTTGAGATTGTGGATGTTATAAGTAGCTAAATGAAGGAAAATTAGTTGGGATAAGTAAAGAAGAGTTTGATAGTATTGTGGGAGGTAAACATATGGAAATTTGACCAAATTTGGATAAAAATCGGGCTGAAAAATGGAAAATCTGGTACGGGTATCGGTACTGATAGAACAGTACTGATACTACATGCTTGAAATAGGAAGAATCAGTTGGGAAGTATCGATACTGATGCAAAGAAGGTATCGATACCATTGATAACGGGATGCAAAAATGGTATCGATACCGTAATAGAATATCGGTACCATAGTATAGTAGTATCGATACCATGGTAGGGGTATCGATACTGTTGAGCCAAAAATTTTAAAATAGGCTGATATTATTATAGAAAATTAAATAATATGTACTCTTGAGTAATATTTAAGTATAATTGTTAGGAAATATACTAACAATTGATATTGTATGTGTCTTTATTGGATGCTTGAGTAGATCGAAATCAAGCTCCCGAGTTAAGCAAAACAAAAGGCAAAGGCAAAGTACCTGAGTAATCAACTTTTCATTTTGGATACAATAGCAAGGCAATCCAGGTGAGTGCATTTATTATGTACCTATATGTTATGATATTCATAGATGTATAATTGATTGATATATATATGGTGATTACCAAATGACACTGAGTGTGCAAAAAGTTAAGAAAATCATAATTAATTTATGAATTTCCTTATGGGCACTTTGTGTGCAAAAAGCTAAGAAATTCATACTAAGTGTATGAATTTCCGTATGGGCACTTTGTGTGCAAAAAGTTAAGAAATTCATAATTAGTTTATGAATTTCCGTATGGGCACTTTGTGTGCAAAAAGCTAAGAAATTCATACTAAGTGTATGAATTTTCATATGGACACTTTGTGTGCAAAAAGTTAAGAAATTCATAATTAGTTTATGAATTTCCGTATGGGCACTTTGTGTGCAAAAAGCTAAGAAATTCATACTAAGGGTATGAATTTTTGTATGGGCACCATGTGTACAAACTAAGAAATTCATACTAAGTGTGTGAATTTTCGTATGGGGACTATATATGCAAACATAAGAAATTCATAATAAGTAGGTGAATTTTCGTATTGGCAGTGGGTATGAAACCCACGTAAATTATAGTAATGGTTGAGAAATAACGGTATTAGCCCTACCAATGTAAACTATAGAGTGTTTAATGAATTAAATGAATCATTGGAAATTTAAATTGTCATGATATAATTGTGTTTAGAATTTTGATTATGATTATTTATGCCTCACTAAGAAAATTTCTTAGCGTGTGTTAATTTCACGCATAGGTTTTACTACAAGCGAAGTAAGAAGATCATCGGACATCAAAGAAAGGGTCGCCTCGTCAGTAACAATATGACATTTATGTCTACTTTTTTATATATTTAGTTGGCATGTAATATATTTAGTAAAAACGCTCTGAAAAGCATTTGATGTAT